CTGGTTTCAAATGCGAACTTATTTGGGTTGGCAAACGGCACTGCAAGAGGAGGTGCACCAAGTGTCAGACTAGCCATCTACAAAGCTTGTTGGTTTAAAATCTGCAATAATGCAGATATACTCTCTGCTTTAGATGATGCCATTAGTGATGGCATCGATATTGTTTCTCTTTCTTTAGGCCCTGAACCGCCCCAAACCAGCTACTTCGAGGATCCAGTGTCAATTGGATCTTTCCATGCATTTTCTAAAGGAATTCTGGTTTCGGCAGCAGCTGGGAATGCTGGTTTATCAAGAACTGCAACTAATGTTGCTCCCTGGATCATGACTGTTGCTGCAAGTACTTTGAATCGAGAGTTGCAATCCAAGATTTATCTTGGAAATTCAAAAGTTTTAAAGGTACCTTTACGCCAACCAATTATACTCGTAAGTCAATATGAGAGTATTTTACCATAAACTTCCTTTTTACCGATCAGGAGTTGAAAAAGGGATTTCTTGTTTCAGAGTTTTGGTCTAAATCCATCAAAACTGGATAGTGCTTCCGGTTTAATAGCAGGAAGCGATGCAGCAGCTTCTGGAATTCCCCAGAAAAATGCAAGGTACTTCTTCTGAAAAGGGAAAAATTTTCCTCTTATTGTCTTTGAATGCCCAAAGGCTAGGACGGTGCTTACTGTCAAAGAATCAGGATATTCATTTTCTCCATGATTTCATATTTTAGAAACTCTGGATGGTGATTAAATCAGAAACATTGGCTATTACATCTTAGTAGCTGCAGATGATCATATTTCTTTGGGATTGTAATTGGACATTAAACTCTAAATTTTGACTTGATTTCTTTTGATTTTCCAGCTTTTGCCAGACAAACACACTTAATCCTAACTTGATTAAGGGAAAGATTGTGGTCTGCCAACTCGAGAATGAGCATGTTGACCGAATTCAAATGCGTGTTTACATAAGAAGCATCGGAGGGGTAGCCATGATACTTGCTGATCCAGTTGCCCAAGACGTATTATTCAATTTTGGTATCCAAGCCACTGTGATAGGTCAAGAAGAAGCAACAGAACTTCAAACTTACATGTCTACAAAAAAGTAAGCTCTAAATTTCGTTGAAATATCAGGATTTATCTTTGTTCTTTCAAATAGATATTTAATCAATGTAAGTTTGCTCATAACTGACGTGTTTGTAGATCTTTGGAACAGAATTGTAATTCTTATGATTAGATATCTTATTGCACATGTGACATATATACATTTGAACTTGCTTGTGTAAAGCAACCATTACAGTGCTCATGTCTTTTGACGTGCTTGCTTTTCCTATTACAGGAATCCAGTGGCTAGACTATCCCAAACATCTACACAAATGTCTATTGAACCAGCACCAGCAATGGCAGCTTTCTCTTCAAAGGGTCCAAATACTGTCACGCCAGATATAATCAAAGTATGTTTGGCTAGAATTTTTATGCACTGTTCTGGTTCAATTATAAACCCTGGAAGTTCCACAAGCAATATATGTATTTCCTATCATATACTTATGTACAACACCGATCTGCCATTAGCCCTCAAGAAATCAAACACTTCATTATAATTTGAGAAAAACATGTTAAGAAAAAAATTGCTGTATAAATACTAATCCAACATGTCAATTGTAGCCCGATGTAACAGCTCCGGGAGTAAACATTTTGGCAGCATGGTCTCCAGTAGCTCTTGGTGACGCTGGTGGACGATCACTTGACTACAACATAGTCTCCGGGACTTCCATGTCTTGTCCACATGTGTCTGCAGTGGCAGCAATTGTAAAGGCTAGCCACCCTTCTTGGAGCCCTGCAGCTATAAAATCTGCAATAATGACAACAGGTCTACAAAATTTCAAACCGAAAAAATCCCTTACTGGTTCTATTGTAGTTCACACAGTCTAATGCTTTTCCTTTTCTCTAAAACAGCAACAATACTAGATGACTCTGGGAATTACATCAGAAGACATCCTGATGGTAGTTGGGCTACGCCTTTTGATTACGGTTCAGGGCACATAAATCCAGTTGCAGCAATTGACCCAGGGCTAGTTTATGATTTCGATCTCAAAGACGCCATTGATTTCCTCTGCAGCGATGGCGCAACCTCTGCACAGCTGAAGAACTTAACCAGCGAGACCACATACTGCAATAACCCTCCAAAGCCTTCCTCCAGCTTCAATTATCCTTCAATTGGAGTCTCCAACATGAAGGGCAACATATCAGTGTATAGAACAGTTACCTATGTTGGTAATGGACCAACAGTTTATGTCTCAAAATTAGAACAACCCACAGGTGTAAATGTTTCAGTCATACCACCAACATTAAGGTTTACAAATACAGGGGAGAAGTTGACTTTCAGGATTGATTTTACACCTTCAAAGACCAGCAATGGAAGCTTTACTTTTGCAGCATTGACATGGAGCAATGGGATCCATAGAGTAAAGAGTCCCATTGCACTTAGCGTGCTTTCTTTACAGAAATGAGCAATTCTATAACCTTCCCATTTTCAAATGTCATTGTCCTCTATTGAATTACTTAAATTTTTTGTTAGAAACCTTACGAAAGGAATAAAGGGAAACTCATGTAAGAACTTTGGAAATTCTGCAATCAATCAAGTGGTGTATTAGATACATTTTCCTTAACGCTATATTTATCCCTTATTAAGTGAAAACAAATACCCTTTGAGATGAAATGATGTAATAATAGTCAAGATAACTTGCAGTTGTTTCTTTTAGCTACTAGAATAAGAATGATACACGTTTACAAAACAAATCAAGTGAAATGGGATAATAGTTTTCAGCAGAAAATCAAGTTTTATTTGACCTTTTATATAGAGTTGGAGAAATATTCATGAAGAGTCGTAACTTTAATTGTTGAATCCCTTTGGAAGAAATGACGAACTTGTACAAACCATGAACTTATACGTACTATGTGTTTGTTCATGCCATGAATTTGTGTATACATGGAATTCGGCAAAAGTCGCAACTTTTTAGTCATGCAGATGAACATGCATCCGCTTCAAAAATTCATTGAAAAATTCTATCTATTTGTTTCTTAACTCGTAGCTGCAACCCATTGGAAACCTCTGAAAGAATACATTTGCTCGTGTTGTGAAAGTGGTTTCTGGATGCCCAGAAGAAGGAATACTATTCATCTCCTGGAAAATTGGCAATTAATTCAGAGTTCATTTATGTTTCCCGCAATGTGCTTTATCTTCAGTTTCCTTCTTTGGTGCAATATGGTTGTAATGTAAGTATCAGACTGGTGATTTTTTTTTTTTTTTTCCGCGCAGTCCAAGTTCCCTACGTTGAGCAGGAAGTTCAATTCATGCAAGGCTCTGCCAGAATTTCTAGACCCTCTGCCAGAAAGACAACCCGATGCAGAAAAGTGAAATGAATCCTATATATGTTAGAAACTTTGAGGCGACTTCTTGAATCTGCAATAGCAAAAGTACATCTTTCCCAGAATAATGTGGATAAGACTCAATCATCCTCAATTTGTGGGACTATTCTTTTCATCAGATTAGAATTTACAGTCCAACAGTGGTGGAGCCACATTGAGTTGAGTGTGACCAATTGCCCCCTGTCCACTCTTGAAAAATTACAAAATTGTAAAGAAAACTACCAAATCTTTGAAAGCTTCTTAAGAATAGCTCCCACAATATTTTTCAATATTGCTCTCTTCTGTCAAATTGCCCACCTAAAAAATGTAAAAACAAGTTCAAATGTCTATTATCTTGTATTTTACAATTCAAAATCATGTTACAAGATTGTGAGGAAAAACCAAATTATTCACATAATCAATGTTTTGGTATCGCTTCATTATCATTTTTTTTTCATTATACAATTTGTAATTAAAAATAACATCTATACATAACTGCAATTTTAGCGCATTAGTAACATAATTTTTTCCTTTACTATTCCATCCTTTGTCCCCATTAACTCGGAGTCCTGGCTCCACCACTGACCACAATGTAGGATGCTACGCTGTAGAATTTCCCTCTAACATACATATATATGAGTGATGGTTATAGATATACTTTAAAAAATTCTTTGTCACAATTGCACAGAAAGTGAACGCAAATTACTTTTTATAAGCTAATTACGATACAAAAACATATTGTGGTTGGCCGTTGATATTTTTTGAGTTTCTATCAAAAATTTCACTATAGAAATTTGGAAAAAATATATTTTAAGCATCTTCCTTTCTATTTCATTGTATGAATCTAGATTTTTTGCATGGTAAAAACCACATAAAGCAAGATATACTTGTGTTTGGTATTGCTTCTCCAAGTTCAACCAACTAAGTTATGAATGGGTCAAACAACTAAACATAAGTTCATAACATTTTTCTAACTTCCAAACACATGAGATGAAAATTGATGAACTTAAAATTAGTAGTGAGTGTTTATTTGCACTAGAAAGTGGGATTGTGCCCTTTTTTTTTTTTTTTGGGTATTTTCCCTATAGAAAAAAGTGTTTAAGATCCTCTATTTTACTTCTTATTTTAATCTCTCTATATTACTATTTATTCCTTTGCTTCACACATCACTTATTAGTAATTCAAAATCTAGCACGTATTGAGTGAAAACTTTAATTCTCAATTGTAACGATAGTAGTGCAATTTGCAAGAAAAAAAATTTAGAAAATTGGAATAGAAGAATCTGAATATTAATTATTATAATTCCCTTCCGCATCTGTGCAATTTCCGGCCTATATCCGTTCTCGTTCATGCAGAAAAATTTACGATAGTCAACACTAGGAGGCTCCTTCTATTTCGCTAGACCATTCCCTCCTAAAGCAAACATCATTCTCAGCATTGATAACTCTATCCACCCCCGCCTCTCTTCCTTTTCGGCCATTTTTATTCAAACTCTACCTGCATTTTCCTTCTTCCTTCTTCCTTGCTTTTTCCCTTCTCTCTCTATCTAAATTTGTACAGGGAGAGGGAGAGAAAAAGAAACCATAATATCGAAGCCACGAATTAAGCAAAATGTTGCCATACCATACGCTTCAGGAAGCTGAAATTTCTCTTGGAAGAAATCTAACATTTGCAGAAACATTATGGTTCAAATACTCGGCTCAAAAATCAGATTATATCCTCTATTGTCACAACACCCTTTTCTTGTTTATCTTTTACACCTTGTTTCCGATCCCCTTTGTCATTCTTGAGCTCCTGGGGTCCAAAAAGATTGACAAGTACAAGCTTCAGCCAAAATTCAAAAACTCATTCTCTGACATGATGGAATGCTACAAAAAAGTTATGTGGACTTTTGTCTATGCTGTTGGCCCCCTGCAAGTCCTTTCTTACCCCGTCATTAAGGTACAAGCTTAACTAGTTCCCCTAGTTACTTTAATAGGATTTGTTGTTTGTCTTTTCCGTTCTCAATTCTTGAGTTTGCATAGCTGGTCCTTTATTTGGAAATGGACGTGTCTTTGAGTAAGTTTCCGAGTATTTTATAGAATCAATTAACTAGTTAGAGAGTTAACATATTATCTCATTCTGGTGGGAAAATGTTTCAAGAAACGAAGTATCGGATTTAAATCCAATTTGGTGCAAATGATTGCCAAATGAGATTCTTGAAAATTAACTTAATGTATGTTGATGAGCTGCTTCTTAACGTGAATGCTGCATGTTTTATTATATTTTTATGTCATTAATGCAGACCTTATGCAATGAAATTATGATATTCATCCAAAAAAAATAACTACAAAAGGCAAAAAATCATATGCTTGAATCCAAAGACAGCCAAATGCATTAGTACGGTATGCTTATTATCATTTTGTCTGCTTACCTTTATTGATGATTTTCATAGCTTACCGAAATCCCACCAAACTTCCTTTCATTTTTGTGATCAGAAGAGTAAGAGAGACGTTTTCCTAACTTACTGAAGTTACTCTACTCCCTAAAATTAGTTATTCCCTACAAGAACTGAGGAACTTTTCACCCTAATCTTTGCAGTGGATTGGGATCCGAACAAGCTTGCCGTTGCCATCTGGGACAGAAGTATTCTGGCAACTGGTGGTGTATGTAGTAGTCGAGGACTATGCAAATTATTGGCTCCATAGACTAATGCATTCCCCATGGGGCTATAACAAAATCCACAGGGTGCACCATGAGTATACGGCTCCTATTGGTTTTGCAGCACCTTATGCTCATTGGGCAGAGATTATTATCCTTGGACTTGCTTCATTTCTTGGTCCTCTCATGGTCCCCGGTCACATGCTCACCTTTTGGCTTTGGTTTATACTAAGGCAGCTCGAAGCCATTGAGACTCATAGCGGGTGATTTCTCATTCTCCTTTTTCTGTTGCCAATTCATCAAAATACTGGAATAGTTAAACAACCTAAACTCAACGACTAACATGTTTTGCTTTCTTTGCACAATTATCCATATGTGCAGGTACGAATTTCCTTGGAGCCCCTCCAAGCTTATTCCATTTTATGGAGGTGCAGTTTACCATGATTACCATCACTACGTTGGGGGCAAAAGTCAGAGCAACTTTGCATCTGTTTTCACTTACTGTGACTACATATATGGAACCGACAAGGTCAGCAATGCATGCTCTAATTACTATATGTTCAACCAATGAACTTCTTGTTCTTATCATTTTTGTGACTTTTATGTTTTCAAATAATTAAACGTGAATTTAGTAAATACTTCCTCATCGAACTTTCTTCATTGACAGAACTTTCATATTCATGTGTTTTTTTTTCAGGGATATCGATACCAGAAAAATGTCTTTGAAAAGGTAAACTTACATTATCTTTTACTTTTGGAGTAAACAGTTTTGCAGATGACTGCATGGCTATATTCAAAGCAACATGAGCATGTGTTCATCTCCACACGATTAACAAATTGTTTGTTCAATCAATTAATCTACATGGCAAAAAATAATTTAGCAACAACGAGAAATTAAACATCCTCAGTCGACAGTGTTTGATATGATTAAGGTGTCAAATATTGAGAATTCTAATCCAGTATATATTGTCTGAAGCTCAGTAATCCCATATACCAATAAGGACTACTCTTTTGTTTTCCTTGCTTCTTGATTTTCCAGTACAATACCGTAGGATCACCAGTTTCGTCCTTGTTCAGCTTTAAAATCTGAACGTGCAATGCATCTTGATATCCATCAAAACATAATATCTGTAAACATTTTTTTACCAAACACTGTAAAATTTCAAGTGGTAAACATCAGAATCCAAAAGAAATAGAAAGTTGTACCTTGTAAACGTTAATTTCTTTTCGACACTAACTATATTTTCCTTCTTAGTTTATCCCAATATGCTGATTATATATTTGATCCCGTCTCCAAATGTACCCTGTTGAATCTTTTTCAGACGCAAGATAGCCTCAGGAGCCAAAGTGATATCAAATCTGAGTAGGAGAAAGCTAAACTCTGCATGCACGAACTCTTCATCAGCTCTGAGCAAAACATTCTTGATGCGTGTTGTGGTTCTGTCTACCATAGAAGTTTTTTTTTTTTTGGGGAGCAATATTGAGAGATTTTTATCTACTATAGAAGTATGAGTAGCATTGAAAAAATAGTAAATAATTAATTGTTGTACAAAATTATGGACACATCTCAGCAGCATCATGATGTGGTGCTGCGCTTTTGAGCATTTCACCCCACATGGAAATGCTACAAATTACGACCTCAAGAATTAAGTTTGTGTTATTACCTTATTGAGGATATCGACTCTTTTTTTTCTAAAAAGAAAAAACCCTTTTTTGGTTTCTTCTTCTAGCATTCTTCAGTGCAGTATTTTGTTACACTATGTTTACTAGAAATGTAGGAGTTGCGTGGATAGGACACAGTGTGTTGTATTGTGCTAATCTTTATTGGACAGTTAGCATTAGGCTCTGGACTAATTCTTGGTGCAAATTAGCATTATTTTCCATCCAACACGTACTCGTTTCTGCTGTTACACTCTACAAATAGTAATTGAATTTTGAACAATTTTAAACCTTTTTTTTTGTATGATAAAAAAGGCAATTTATTCTTAATTGCAGATAATAAGAGGCGGAATATATCCGGTGATTTATTTCATATATGTTCATATAAAGATTGTAATGTAATCAGTGGTTAACGTTGAGACTCCAAAAATTAGAGGTCCTAAATTATATTCATTTTTCCCATTGCCCCTTATTACTTCTTAAATCCCATCTCTTCCATGATAGAAAAAAAAAATTGAAAAAAAAAGAGATTGTAATGAAATATTGATGTCTCATAATTAAATTGGCATTAGCCTACGTAGCATAATACTTAAAAATGATAAGTATATCAGGTAGTATATTAGTATTTTTAGCTTTATATTTTCATTTGTATTCACATTATCCGTTAACCAGTTATATACGTATATTTTTATACTTATATTCTTGAGTCAAATTTCTAATCTTACTTCTCTGGATTTAATAAGATATAAGTTACTTAGCTATCAAAAGCCCGTCTAGCTCAGTCGGTAGAGCGCAAGGCTCTTAACCTTGTGGTCGTGGGTTCGAGCCCCACGGTGGGCGTGTATTTACTTTTGTTTTTGCTATTTTATAAGCCTTCATAATTAATTGCTTTATTTTAATATTACATGAAGAGTTTTCAAACAGAAATGTAACCTCTATTTTTGAACTGCAAAACACTTTCACACTTAAAAAAATGTAAATGCATCAAAAGTTGAATATTGAAACATGCTTAATTACATTTGTGACCAAATTATAAAAATGACTCTAATTAATGTCAATCATGTTTCAATTTTGACAATCTAGTCCCTCATGAAGTATGTCTTGTACTTGTTTATTTAGTTAGTCCCTCATAGTTTAATTTGCATGGTTGTGACCAAATCCTGTTGAAAATTTGCAATTTTTTTAAGCATGATTAATTCAAACAGAATAATACCAGAAACAAGAAGGTCCTATTTGGTTCCAGGAAACTTGTAAGGAAAAGGAAAAGAATTCCTTGTGAAAGAGTTTTTTTTTATGTTTGATTTTAAGCAAACTAATTTTTCATTTTCAATATAGTCCCTTAATGTCTTTTGGCTCCTTTATAAAAGCTCCAACGATACATGCCTTCAATCAGGATTGTAAAAATCTTCCAAAAGCATTTTATATGTTTCATTGAACGAAAATAAATACTAACAAACATACAACATTTTAAACAGTTTTTAATTTTTTCTTATTGACTAATTACGATAGAATGATTATTTGATTATCACAAAAAATAATACCTATAACGTGTAATGCATATACTTTCGAGTGGCACTTTTAACTCTTATCTTAATGTTGAAAATGCATGGTAGAACTTATGTCACTTGTCATGGATTCTATTTTTGGACGTTACAAAATATCATGGTTCCAAAAAGGGGGGAAAAAACAAAGACCAAATGTCCCTTCTACAAAGAATTGTTGGGAATTTTGGAACTACAGCAGAAAGATGTCATGGAATGGATACAGTAAAAGAAGCAGAAACACAGTTTTGGATTAACGATGTTGCTATAGTAAGATATTCCGAATCACACCTTTTTAGACCTCAAACGCACATAATAACTGTTATTTTCGAGGGGTGCATGTAAACGAGTTTAATCAAATCTAACGCCCTAGTGTTGAAACTTGTTTGATTATTTTAACGAATTTGAAATTTGTTTAAGTTTGATTTGTTTATTTGTCGAATCGAAATTGAATGCATTTTTTTTATCGAGTTTGAATGTTATCGAACAAAAGATGCGATTCAATCTTGACTTAACTAGTTGACGAATCAAACTCGAACGAACTCTTGCTAAGCCGAGTTCGATTCGAGGACCAAATAGTTTGATTCATTTTTCAGTTCTAATACTTTTTTAAAACATCACAATTTTAAATCATTATTTTTGACCCTCTGGTGCTCGTACTATATTAAATAATGCCGTAGAATTAGACAACACAACCATAGCTCCCACAATAATTGGTATTTAATATTAGAACCAAAATTCGAGCAGTTATGGTTATTGCTTCCAAGTTACAACTTAAGCTGGTTTAGATTGTTACTTTTCGAAATTTTTATAGAAAAATGTGTTATAGCGATTTGATATATGTGAGATGAAAAAAAAACTGGAAAACAGGTCAACCGAAAACGTAAAAAATTTTTTTTGGAGAAAAATGGCAATTCAAACGAGGCACATTAAAAGCAACTAATCCCAAGTCAACCATTAAATTTTGATACTAATTATTACAAGCAACAGGCAAGATTGAAAAAGTCAAGCATATATAAACCGTTAGCTCGTCACAAAAGTGTTACGTCAAAGAATTAATTAATTGTGTTTAATTACAATTTTTTATTTACTTAATTTAATTCATTTCAGACGAAACGGGCGGCTGGCAGACCCGCGTTAAAAAGAATATGATATGAGCTTGAATTGGAATTATTTTTCCAGTCGTACATTGGAAATTAATTAAATACACCAAAAGACGTGGGCTAGCTACAATCATTGGTTAGATTAGCAGCCATCCATTCTAAATTCTATTCAACTTTCCTTGAAAAAAAACAATCAAGTTCATTGTAGGGAAGTCTTGGCTTTACAAAATTCTAAATAGTTAGTTAGTCAACTTGACTGACTCAAGAGAAATTCTTGCTCTTTTTTTTTTTTTTTTTTTTTTGGGATGAATGAGATAAAGGCCTTGTTCTCAACTAATTTTGGAAATCTGACTTTAGCTTTTGATTTTCCAAAAATTATTTTATTGTGTTCTCAACTGATTTTAAAAAATTAATTTTAGATTTGTGGGTCGAAAAAAAAACTGGAAATCAGAAGAAGCTGGTGTTGAGTTGTTTTTGAATTCTGATTTTAGCCTATTTTTCATATAGGCCAAAATTACTCTTCAAATTTCAGCATAATTACTAAAGTATCTAAAAATCAGATAACTTGTTATGGTCTTTCTGTTTTCTTTTTGTTCTCACTCCCAGATTCATTTATGTGATCCTTGTTTTTCTCACTCACCATTTAATTTTCATAAGTAAAGTAATTAATTACATTAAAAAAATTATTTAATTAGCACAAAAATTCATTTATGTACCAAATAAGGGTAATATCATCATCTTTTTGTCAAAAATCAACTTTTTAACTTTTTCAAAGATCACCTATGCATTTATTAAAATGATTTTTTTAACAATAAACAAGAACACATGAGTTACTGTGACAATTTTGATTTTACAAAATCAGAATCAGTTGAGAAAAGACCCTAAGGTGTCTATAACAAACACTGAACATAGTCCCCATCTGCTTTTTGCCTCTAAATTAAAGCCTCTGCACAACATATGAACACTTGCTTTTGTCCATGAACAACTAGTTTTTGCTTTCAATCTTTTTATTGAGTTTTTGAGCTGACAAGATGAAGATACACAAACTTTTCGCTCTTTTCCTAATCCTGAGATTCGGATACATACATGCAATCAGCACAAATGCAAAGGTAAATATTCTTGACATTTCATTCTTACGTCTATGAATAGTTGTATGTTCTCTTGAAAAGCTGATTTCGACAAGTAGATAACAATGAGATGTAGGATTTTTGCACATCTTTTGTCTTGACACCACGAGTTCATATGAACTTCCTACCAAGCCATGATTTGTGGCAGTATCCATTGAGTTATAAGTTCACCTATGTCCCAAAACAGAAGGCTTACAAGTTCAAATATTCCATGATTTTGAGCATGAAAAGTCATGTTGAATATTAATATAGCAAAGATGAGAACAAACAGGAATATATTAGCACTAAATTAGTAACATCTGCACTTCATGGACCAACCAGTCTACATCCCTGTAAAAACCATATCCGACCTTCAAATTAATTCGATATAACAAGAGTCATGAAGGTGCAGAATGGAAGTATGGGAATCAAGACTAATCTTGATTCACAGACTTTGACTTCATAAGCAAATGGAGGATTGTACCCTCAAGGTGCTACTGGTAGAGAGAGAGGGATAATTGATTATGAAGTTCTTCATGCTTAGACTCAGGAACTGATGTCAAGA